AACAAACAATGTAATTATTGGCATTGAAAGAAGAAGAAGAAGGTATAAGTATTACGCAAATCGGATCAACCATTATGCGTAGGGAACTGCCAGAGTTGCCGCCAAGTCGAACCTAGCTCTGACGACCACAGAAAATCAACATATCAGAAAAGCCCATTTAATCACAAATTCTGAAGTGGACTAAAAAAGAAGTCCAGAGGTTTGGGATGTTCAGGAGATTTGTTTTGAGATTAGTTCTCAAAATGACAGAATTGCATTGAGCATAATGCAAAAAATAAGCTCACCACTAGAAGTAGGATTAGATTCCTCCATTTCAGGAACATCTTCACCTGCTTCTCTACATCCATCGTACTTTTACCATTTGGTACGAATTTACGTGAGACACCTAGAAAATTAATTCAATCACTATGCAGACCGGTTTCAATGGAAGTGATAATTGAAAGCTAACAAGTAAAAGAGAAGTAACAAAATAGGGCTCATTTTACTGAAAAACTCCTTTTCGATGAAGAAACGGGCAAATTTGAGAAAAAAATTAAGGCACGCTGGATGTAATTATTACTCACGATGATGGAGAGAGTTGTGACAATCGATCCTCCAGTACGGCAGAAAAAGAAAAATACTGGTAAAACACTTGAATCACATTGCTCTCCGATCGTCTGGGTGGGGAGGCGCTTGGAATTTCATTGACTGACACCATCTTTTTACTATTTCAAGTGTTCCCAGCATATTTTTTGCTTTCTCTCATTACTGCTGAACCAACATTACCACTACAACATTCTATTCAATCGCGGAATGTACCTTTAGATTACTTCTTCTCTCCGATGTCTATCTAGGCTGCTACTGCAAAACTTGTCATGTGATAAGGGAGGAGGCCTAGTGACTGAATGTACTTCATCTAAGAATTGTTGGCTCATGCTCTGAACTTGTCTCTTTGCTTACGTTCGAGTTTTCCACACACTTCCACTGAGATCACCTAATCTTTCAGAGCTATGGCTCTTTTGGTCTGTATATAAAATGTCCAGCCGGCTGCATATCCCACAATTCCAGAGCAGAGTAATCAAGCAATGCTCGGTCACTATAGCGCTCATAGCAGTAGCTATCGCGGGTAGTCAGTTATACAAGCTTTCTCCTTGGAGCAAGAAGGCCCTGAAATTTCGCGCGACGAGTATTACAGGAACGCAGGTCAGCCACGAAAAAAATGTTAAGTGAAAAACGAACTCGAAAGAAAGCATAGATCTTGAAAAAAGTAGAATCTAGATTTAAAAAAAAACTAAAAAAGGGCAAAAATAATCATCTAAAATTCACTTCCGCGTGTGGATGTAATCGCATTCTTTGACAAGGTCAGAGTGTTCACATAATGGGTGCTTGACGAAGATGCAGCATGCCATGTTTGGCTGGAAGCACTGTAAAGATCAAACTATTACCATTCCGAATGTGATCTACGATTCGTGCTTA